TCCTAAAACGCCTGTCCACCAACTACAAGGCACATGTCAGACTCTCCATGTGCCTGAATGAGTGAAGGTCCAACAGCAATCAGAAGCTTGACAACATCCAGGAAAAAGTAGTCACTTTTGATTGAAACCCTACCCACCACTTTCAATATTCACTCCCTCCACAACACACGGTGACAGCAGCGTGTAGCATCCACAGATGCACCACAGAAACTCGTCAAGGTTCCTTCTATGTCACCTTCCAAACCCACAAATTCTACCACCTAGAAGAACAAGAGAAACAAATGCATGAGAGCACTACCAAATGCAAGACTCCATCCATGCCCACTCCATCCTGACTTGGAACTATATCACTGTTCCTTCAGTGTTGTTGGGTCAAATCCTGAAACTCCCTCCCTAATAGTATTATGGGTGTATCTACTCCCCATGGACAGCAGCAGTTCAAAAAGGAGCTCACCATTGCCTCCTCAAGGGCAAGTAGGGATGGGCAAAAATGCAGGTCTAGCCAGCAATGTGCATATTCTACAAACAAATAAGAAAGATCCTAAATAAAATACATCTTGTGGTTAGGCTTTTTTTATTTACTTGTGGGATGTGTGCATTTCTGGTCGGCCAGCATTTATTGCCTGTCGCTAATTGCTCTTGAGATGGTGGTGGTGAGCTGCCTTCTAGAACTGCTGCAGTCCATGTACAGTAGGAAGACGCACAATGTCCTTAGGGAGGGAATTCCAGGATTTTGACATAATGACAGTGAAGGAACAGTGATTTACTTCCAAGTCAGGATGGTGAGTGGCTTGGAGGGGAATTTGTAGGTGGTCAGTACAGTGTGGGGCTGGAGGAACACAGCAGGTCAGGCAGCATCAGAGGAACAGGAAAGTTGACATTTCAGGGTGGGACCCTTCATCAGGGCTGGGGAGGGGGAAGGGAGCTAGGAAATAAATAGAGGGAGGAGGGGTGGGCTGGGGGAAGGTAGGTAGGATGGTGGTAGGTGGAAGCAGGTAGGAGTAGTGGGGATTGGTCAGTGGGAAGGGTGGGGCGGATAGGTGGGAAAGAAGATGGGCAGGTTGTGTCAAGCCAAGGAGGCGGGGATGAGAGGGTGGATTGGATATGGGATGAGGCTGGGTGTGGGGAGATTTTGAAACTGGTGAATTCTATGTTCAAGGCCATAGGGCTGTAGGCTCCCGAGGCAGAATATGACGTATTGTTCCTCCAGTTTCTGGGTCGCGTCATTGTGGCACTGGAGGAGACCAGGATGGACATGTCACCAAGGGAGTGGGAGGGGAGTTAAAATGGTTGGCAACTGGAAGGTGTTGTTGATTATAGCGAGACCAAACGCAAACTTGGTGATCGATTCGCAGAGCATCTGAGCTCTGTACGCTATAATCAACAACACCTTCCAGTTGCCAACGATTTTAACTCCCCTCCCACTCCCTTGGTGACATGTCCATCCTGGGTCTCCTCCAGTGCCACAATGACGCGACCTGGAAACTGGAGGAACAGCACCTCATATTCTGCCTCGGGAGCCTACAGCCCATGGCCTGAACATAAAATTCACCAGTTTCAAAATCTCCCCACACCAGCCTCATCCCATCTCCAAACCTCCCTTTCATCCCTGCCTCCTTGACCTGACACTACCTGTCCATCTTCTTTCCTACCTATCCGCCCTACCCTGCCCACTGACCAATCCCCACTACCCTACCTGCATCTACCTATCACCATCCCACCTACCTTCCCCCAGCTCCACCCCTCCTCCCTCTATTTATTTCCCAGCTCCCTTCCCCCTCCCCAGTCCTGATGAAGGGTCCTGACCCAAAATGTCAACTTTCCTGCTCCTCTGATGCTGCCTGACCTGCTGTGTTCCTCCAGCTCCACATTGTATTGACTCTGACTCCAGCATCTGCAGTTCCTGCTGTCTCCAACTTGTAGGTGATGGTATTTTCATGTTTCTGCTGTCCATGCCCTTCTAGATGGGAGTGGTCATAGGTTTGGAAGGTGCTGTCTGAGGATCTTGGGTGAATTTCTGCAGTGCATCTTGTAGATAGTACACACTGGGCTTTTTTACATCAGTGGTGGAGGGAGTGGATCGCATGTGGATGTGGTGCCTAATCAAGTGGGCTGCTTTGCCCTGGATGGTGTCAAACTCCTTGAGTGTTTTTGGAGCTACATCCATCTAGAGAAGTGGGAGTATTCCATCACACTCCTGACTTTTATCTTGTAGGTGGTTGACAGGCTTTGTGGAGTCAGGAGGTGAGTTCCTCAATTTAGTATTCCTAGCCTTTGACCTGCTCTTACAGCAAAAATATTTATATGGCAAGTCCAGTTGAATTCCTGGTGAATGTTCACCCCAGGATGTTGATAGTGAGGGATTCAGTGATGGTAACATTATTGAATGGCAAGGTGTTTAGAATCTCTCTTATTGGATATATTCATTGCCTGACATTTGTGTGGCATGAATGTTAGTTGCCACTTGTCAGCCCACGACCGGATATTGTCCAGATCTTGTTGCACTTGAACATGAACTGCTTCAGTATCTGAGGAGTCACAAGTGGTGCTGAACATTGTGCAATCATTGGCAAACATTCCCACTTCTGACATTTTGATGGAGGGAAGGTCATTGATGAAGCAGCTGAAGATGGTTGTGCCTAGGTCACTACCCTGAGGAACTCCTGTAGAAATGTCCTGGAGCTGAGATGACTGCCCTCCAGCAACCATAACCATCTTCCTATGTGCCAAGCATGACTCCAACCAGTGGAGACTTTGTCCCCGATACCCACTGATTTCATTTTTGCTAGAGCTCCTCAAATGTGGTGCTGGGGACCATTGGAGGAGACCAAGATGGATCATCCACTCACCACTTCTGGCTGACGATTGCTACAAATGCTTCAGTTTTATATTTTGCACTGATGTGTTGGTTTCTTCCATCATTGAGGATGGGGATATTTGCGGAGCCTCCTCTTTCAGTGAGTTGTTTAATTGACCACCACTATTCATGACTGGATGTGGCAGGACTGTAGAGCTTAGATCTGATCCATTGGTTATGGGATTGCTTAGTTCTGTCTGTCACTTACTCCCCATGCTGTTTGCATGTAAGTAGTTCTGTTTGGTTGCTTCACTAGGATGACACCTAATTTTTAAGTATGCCCGATGATGCTCGTACTGTTATTGATTAGAAATCCAACTAGAACAGCCACATATACACTACGGCTATTCATTATTATTGACAATACCTCATGTCGAGGGAGGAAGCTGCTCCTATTGGAGCAGGTCTGAAGCTGGATATACCATGACACTTCCTGACTCCCCAACATATCTATTCACAAGTCAGGTGTGCTATGAAACCCTATACATGAATTAAATAGTCACACTCTCTAATATCTGAATACCTTGACTGCAGTACACATTGTCAACAGGGTATATTGCAACAAGTTACCCAGGCTGGAGGCTCCACCACATAGAAAGACTAGAATGGCATATGCATGGATATACCAAATCATCCGTGTTCCCTCTCAGGGTGAGACCGATTACTGATTCATTTTAATGATTTATTTGTTTGCAATGTTTGGGCAGCATTGGTTAGGCCAGCATTTGTTGCCTGTGCCCAATTATCATTGAGGTGGTGTGCCAACTTCTGGAACTACTGAAGGCCACATGGTAACACATTGCTTTCTTTCACTATCGTTGGGTCAAAATCCTAGAACTGCCGACCTAACAGCATATGGGGTACCTACATGACATGGAATGCAGTTGTTAAAGTGGCAGCTCACCACCACCTTTTCAATGGCAATCACGGATGGGCTATAATTGTCTGCTTTTCCGGACAGGCACATCCATAGAATGAGTGAGCTATACATAGGCAGTCACTCTTGTTTTGTAGGCAACGCTATGAATAAGACACCTTTAATCCAAACACACCTGTAATATCATTCTATTTTAAGAAAGGGCGCGACGATGTGGTTTCCGGTAGTATTCTCGTTGCTCATTTACAGGCAGCTTTAACACTTTGGAAATGCTGCACGCTCCAATGTGCATTTGGTTTTGCTCAGGTATATGGAGTTTCTACACATTTAGAGAAGACCTGTAAAACGAAAGCCAACTGTTTTGGCCAAAGTTCATTTGAAGGTCAAAGTTGTAGAAAATATGCACACGCCTCACATGTAAATACCATTTAATTGCAGCAAAAACCTTTTTCCGGCCATGCCATGCTGAAAGGTTTCACATGAGATGTGTTTGAGCTGTCTGCAATACCCCAATCTCCTGAAGGGTGGCGACTTTTCTACAATAAATAACTGAATGACTGCTGAGAGTGACTGTGCTATTACAAGTTTTGCATTGCAGGAACAACCGTACATTTCAAATGTATCACCATTGTATCCGCCGCTATGGTAGAACGATACGGCGAATTATTTAAACTTTTAATACCTCATTGATTCAAATTTCTATTAAAAATGCCACTGCTCTGCGCATCTCCTTCTTCCAACTCTGTGAAGCTACAAACTTCTGTTTAGACAAACATTACTTTTGTTATTGTTCAATGAATAAAGAGTTGAATGATGGCTAAAGATGCAGATTGCATGATTTAGCACTTTTCTCACTTAACTGCGCAAGTTGAAACGTCCAAAGGAAGCCATTCAAATACAACCTAGCTATGCACAGACTTTAAATCTTCAAATCTTTATATGATTAAGAATATGCAGCCATTGTTTGAAGGGGTTGATACTGTAGCACTCCTTAGATAAAGGTACGGATTAGTAACCTAACTAGTTTATGCAAACATAAGGTCACCGTAGGATCGCTGTTGGTTAGCAGCATTCTAACAGGTTCTAACACTGGATCCTTGCGAACCAACTCACGGAAAAGAGAGAGGAAAAAAAATCAATGACCGTCCTCGTTTGCCAAAGTGTAGAGCGCTGTGTGTAAAACATAAACTTTGCTTGAGTTAATGTGACGTGATTAACGCGCTAAAGAGCTCTTTGGCAGCCAGATTATCTGAAAATCAAACCATGTGAGACAGCTCGTCTACAAAAGCTCTGAAATATGTTGGATTGCCCATATTTCCTGGGAAGTGTTGACCAGTCCAACTCAGGTCGCCCACAGCCCGAAATCAGCACAAGTTCAAGAACCAAGTTCCACTTGACTGTCCAAACTCAGCCAGAGGTAAGTGTGTTTGTGTTCAAACAGCCTCTAGATAGCATTTTTCTTTCTTTTGCGAGCTGCTTCGGGAAATCATAGCAAATAAAGAAGTCTGCTGTTCGCAATTAATGCGACCGAGTCTTGTCCCTGTGCCTCGGGTACCATTGAAAGAGATTGTGCTCCAAGTGCGAGGAAGTGAGCGGAGAAGATGAGGCTTCACAGTAAAGGTAACTTCATTGCCAGCACATTGAAATCTGCTGGACTCATTGTATCTTCAAGATAAGTACTTTATTACCGGTACCAGGCAATTTATTGCAAAATGTTAATTGAGGGCATTAAACGAATGCAATTAAAAAGGAGGGTGCTCATCTACGTTGTAACAGTGATTACAGTTTAAAAAGCGCTTAGTCAGATGTAAAACGCCTTAGAGGTCGTAAGATGCATGATGCACACAGCAAATGTAATTCCTGCACTCCTGGGCGAATGAGGATGCAAAATGCGCTGCTAATGACTTAAGCTGTCAATAAATTTTAAGTACAATAGCGAGCATATCGCGGGCTTTTCAAAACTAGAGAAGGACTGGGAGTGTTGATTTACTTCTAGTTTTGTTCAATTTCAATAACTAATCCGGAAACGAACACCCTATAACCTAACTGAAACGACGCTTCTGTTGCGTCTTTCATATAATGAAACACATTTTACAGGAACCTTATGAATAATTGAACCCGAGCTACAATAAGCGCCGAGAGTAGGAACTGCAGATGCTGGAGA